ATATGATGGCTTCCCTCCTTACCATTTACCGACAATCTTTACAGAGAAGAGGATCCCAAATAAAAGAATGGGATTGGAAAAAATGTGGAAAATGTAGGGTAGTTCAATCATTTTATAGCTTTCATGGTGCCAGTCAAAACTTTTTCACAAAAATATCTGATAAATATTTGCAACTAAGGATTAATAGAATAAGCACATTTACTTAGTTATTCAGATTCAGGAGTTTTTGTGTCTTGGCAGGGGTCATAAGATCAAATAATGGTGGCATTTTGAGCACCAGTAGGGAGTAACATTTTGTGCACCCACAAATCAAGCAGGATTATAATGGGCATGGGCACCTTTGGAAAAGCTTTGAGCTTTTGAGCTTTGAGTAGAGGAACTGGATTTGAGATTCATTTTCATAAATTACTAATTGCAGGACCTTGGGTATACTCCTAGTTATATATTGCTGCTATATTTAGCTATATATTGCTAACAAGCCACCTCAAAACTGAGTAGCTTCAAACAAAAACCATGCCTCATTTACTCAAGAGTCTGGGATTTGAGCAGGATGTGATGTGGCATCGTCCGTCTCTAGTCCACGTGGTAATTGGCTTCTGGGTTCCTTAGGAAGGAGACTCTGGGATGGAAATATCATCCAGGACATTTATTGTTGGGGAATATTGGAATCAATATCTGTGGAAGGCAGGAGAGAGAAGTAGGATCAAGCAGAGAGCTTGAAAGAGCTGAATGGCAAAGCATTCTTTTTTTTTTTTTTTCTTAGTAAGATTTATTTATTTATTTGAAAGGCAGAGTTACACAAAAAGAGAAGGAGAGACAGAAGCGTTATCTTCCATCTGCTGGATCTCTTCCTAGATGGCCGTAATGGCTGGGGCTAGGCCAGGCCAAAGGCAGGAGCCAGGAGCTTCCTCTGTGTCTTCCATGTAGGTGCAGGAACCCAGGCACTTGGGCCATCTTCTGCTGCTTTTCCCAGGTGCATTAGCAAGGAGCTAGATCGGAAGTGGGGTAGCCAGGACAGGAACCGGTGCCCACATGGGATATTGGAACTGCAGGGGGAGGCTTAACCTGCTATGCCACAGCACTGGCCCCACAATGCAGTCTCTCTTTTTTTTAAGATTTATTTATTTATTTGAAATCAGAGTTACATGGGGCGGGGAGGGGGGGAAGAAGGAGGGAGGGAGAGAGAGAGAGAGTGAGCGAGGTCTTCCATCCTCTGTCTCACTCCCCAATTGGCTGCATTGGCCGGAGCTTGGCCGATCTGAAGCCAGGAGCCAGGAGCTTCTTCTGGGTCTCCCACACAGGTGCAGAGGCCCAAGCACTTGGGCCATCTTCTACTGCTTTCCCAGGCCATAGCAGAGAGCTGGATCGGAAGTAGAGCAGTCAGGACTCAAACTGGCATCCATATGGGATGCTGGCACTGCACGAGGCGGCTTTACCTGCTATGCCACAGCACCGGCCCCCCCATAATGCAGTCTTAACCAAGGTTTTGGCCGACCCCATGGAGTGCTCTGGGGCTGGGATGACCTTCAAAGTTTGTCTTGACAAAAGTGTAGGCTGGGCCTTTACACCTTTATGTTGAGCAGTCATTGGATGTGAGCTTACCTAGAAGGAGGTATAGTTTAAAGCAAGGCTGTTTTCTTCAGGGAGGCAATCTCCTACAAGGGCTGTCAGCTAAGACTCACCTTCTGGCACTATCTCCAGCTGCTAGGGAATAAGTCCCATACTCCTATCCGGGCAGTACACCCCGGTGTCCTCCACAGCCTTGATGGGATCTCCGGCTTAGCAGAGGGACTTAGCCATCTTGTAAGAACTTGGCCGAGAGGAAGCTGGGGGAGTGATTTCCCCCAACTTCTCTCCTCTTGGCCTCTCGTTTCCTACCAAGACAAAACCTGGGAAGCCACAGGACTTGATGCAGTGCATATGGGCTTTGGACTACAGAGTAGAGAAGGGCAAAGAGTGGATCTAGAGGGGCAAACAAGATACTCAGCAGAGAAAGTGAGCTTAGTTGTTTGATGATATCCTGATGCACGCTTCTTATTGGTGGATTAAACAAGTCTTCTAAACCACCTTGTCACTCATTCTGCTCCTTTATCATCTCCCTCTTGATTAGCCTCACCGTGGAAGCCTTGCCTAATTACTTCATCTTCGAACACATTCTGGTTTATGAGTTTGGCTTTTCTTCTGACTGTAGGGAACTCCCATCCCTTCATTTTAATTCCATACATCTATATACTGGTGTGGGAATTTTTTCCTCATGCAGCCTCTTTCCAGACGCTATATTTCTGGGCACCTGAACCTAGCCCTGTGGGGGCTGTCTCCTCCCTCAGCCTCTTATTTATCCTGGCTTCCTCCTTAAGACTGAAAAGAGGTGGTGGGGCCGGTGCTGTGGTGCAGTGGGTTAACGCCCTGGCCTGAAGCGCCGGCATCCCCTATGCAGATATGACATGGTATCAGGATGGGGATGAGGGGTGTGGGGAAGAAGGCCTGCTTGGCTGGATCCCTGTCTAGGCAACTGTGGTGAGCTTTCTGCAGCCACTACTCAAGGGGAGAACGAATTCATGGCCTTTCCTCACGTTCATTCTGTCTGCTGTGTTCCACTACAGAAGCCCTGTCATTTAGTCCCAGGAACCATCTAGTTCATGTCTTTTTTTTTTTTTTTTAATGTTTATTTGTTTATTTGAAAGTCAGAGTTACAGAGAGAGAGAGAGAGAGAGAGAGAGAGAGAGAGAGAGATCTTCCATCTGTTGGTTCACTACTCAGATGGCCACAATAGCAGAAGCCGGAAGCCAGGAAGGAGCTTCTTCCGGGTCTCCCACATGGATGGCAGAGGCCCAACACTTGGGCATCTCCCGCTGCTTTCCCAGGCCATTAGCAGGGAGCTGGATCAGAAGTGGAGCAGTGTGTCGGCTTTGCCGGCTACACCACAACACTGGCCTCTATTTTATTTCTTCTTTGGCTTCTATACATTCTGCCTTCTCTACCTACTCCTTGGTTTCCCTGAGTACTTTGGGAGACAATGCCTCTCCTCTGTTTTCTCCTCAACACTGTTTTGCTCTCCTCCATCTAATGGTATTACTATATACATTCCCTATGGACCTTTTTTCCACTATCACTTGTAAGTAGATAGATGCCTCCCAAATCCAAATCTCTGTCCCTGAAGCGCATTTGGATTTCGCTCCAGAACCTGCAGCTGCAGGTGAGATCAGAACTCAGGGTGCATCCCCAGGTTGGTACTAAACCGTACATCTTCCTTGTTAGCTGTTTCTGTTTTTTTGTTTGTTTGTTTGTTTTGTTTAAATAAAACTGGGAAGGGAGTAGACTTGATTCTGTTCCCAAGTCTCACATCTTTTTTTTTTTTTTTTTAAGATTTATTTATTTGAAAGTCAGAGTTACACAGAGGGATAAGGAGAGGCAGAGAGAGAGAAGTCTTCCATCTGCTGGTTCACTGCCCAGTTGGCCGCAACGCTGGAGCTGTGCTGATCCGAAGCTAGGAGCCAGGAGCTTCTTCCCAGTCTCCCATGTGGGTGCGGGGGCCCAAGGGTTTGGGCCATCTTCTGCTTTCCCAGGCCATAGCAGAGAGCTGGATCGGACTCGAACTGGTGACCATATGGGATGCAGGCACTGCACGCCGGGGCTTTACCCGCTATGCCAAAGCACCAGCCCCTTTAGCTGTTTCTAAAGTCTCTGGCTTTTAAACTCTTTCCTGAACTGTTTCTTAGTCCATTTTGGTTCAGTTTTCATATCATCCTGGCTTTCTTTAGCATTGTTTTCATTAAAACAAACACAACTTAAGGAACTTTCCCTTTCCAAATGCTGACGCCCGCCCCTACCTGTGGTGCCATGTAGAAATTTATCTTCTGTATTGGGAAGCCTAAGCCCATTTGCTGGTCGGTGGCCGGGGAGGGGACTGGTGGAATGGCGAGGAGTCTGTGTGGGAAAGTCTAAGGTTTCTAACCTGAAGACCTGGGAAACCTAAAAAAACAAAACCCAAAATCGAGTCCACAGCCTTCTGAGGCATGGCACCAACTTCACCCACTTTCTTCCCCAATCATCTGCTAGGTATTTATCACAAGAATGGTGTAGGGCATGAGGGCTGAATTTAAACAAGAACTAAAAAAAAAGAAAAAAGAAAAAAAAAAGACTCAAGACAAGATTTTAAAAAACCATTCTTATCCCACATATAGACTTTCCAAAAGGCACACTTTAATTTCAGGTGTAGATTTCCATGGAAACCAACCAAAGGGCAAGTATAAGGGAACGGTATTGCTGTGCCATTTCTGTGAGAATTAAAGTCTGATTTTCATTAGGCCAGTGCTGTGTTCCAAGGTCTCAGTTTTTATTAACAGAAACAATTAACTCAGTAACATATAGTTTTATGTAGAGGTTCCTAACTTTCATACCCCACGCAACTGCCTTCAAAACTGTTTTTTTTTTTTTTTTTTTTTTCCATGCAGCGCTGCCACACTCTCTCCACCTGGCCGCTCTCTCCACCGGCCCCGGCTGTGCCGCACGGAAGGTCCGTCTCCGTGGGGAGCCACGGTCCCCAGGCGGTGCCACGAAGCCATGCTCTCAGTGTGCTGTTCGCCTTACTGCGAAGCTGCTTTAAAACGGCCAAGAGCCGGCGTGTGCCATGTGGCGAATTATCAGGCTCGCAACTCTTGGCACACACAAGATGCTTTCTCCCTCCCTTTAACTGTGAAACCCGAAAAGAACACAAAACAAAAAAACAAATCCAACAGGCATCAAAACCGTCCGAGCGCCTAGGGAAAGCGCGCCAACCACACAAAGAAAAAGAGGGGGGCGACTGGGATTCAAAATCGTTTCGCCGGGACGTACACCCTCCTGGACCTATCGGAGTTAACTGCGCGCTTGGTCGTAGCCACTAGAAACAGAGATCCTGGTCCAGGTCCGCCCTGAAGACTGATAGACATTTGCTTACTCCAATGGGAGAGTGTGACGCTAAAGACTCAACCAATACGTTCGGGAGGTGGGTGGAGTGTAGGCCAGGGGGTTGGCGGTGCCGTGTCATGGAGGTTCAGTCTCTGAGCAGCCATTGAAGGGGAAGGAACTGCGGCTCCGTGTGTGTGCGTGTGTGTGTGTATGTGTGTATGTGTGCGAGCGTGTGTGTGCGCGCGCGGGTGTGTGGACAAGGAGGTGGGGGCAGCTGAGTTAGAGTCCCAACTCCTTGGACTCCATTTGCTATTCTTTTCTTTCTCCTTCACACCTATCTGGTGGTAGTAGGCGTTTATATTTGCATTTCTTTTCATTCATTTCCAAATCTTTAAAAATTTTTTAGGGTTGGGGGTAGTGGGAAAGGCAGGAAAGGGGTAGGGAGGAGAGTAGTCGCAGAAGAGCAGGAGGAGGACATGGAGATGAAGAAGAGGATTAACCTGGAGTTAAGGAACAGAGCCCCGGAGGAGGTGAGATGACTCAGCCCCCACCCCTTCCCCACCAGTCCTATATTCCGGGGGTCGGGTTTCTGGGGGTCCTGGTGGGTGTATGAGGAGGGTGGTAAACTAATCGTCTCCTGGGGCTGAGGTTGGGGGAAATGTCTAATTTTAAGTTTTAAATCATTAAAACCTTCCACTTAAAATGGCGAAGGGTTTAAGTTTCTAGGGGGCGTTTTTGTGTGTGCATGGGGGCTTAGCCCCTTTCGGCTCGCATCGAGTCGGGCGTCCTGGCCTCGTGGGGGGCGGGAAGCTGGGTGGCGGGGGCGCCCCGCCGCTTGGCCGCCCGAGTTCCTCCTCCTGGGGGCCGGCGGCGTGGGCGCGACCCCCCGGTCCCACTCATGCCTGCTGCAGCCATCGCCGCCTGAGAAGTTAGTCCAACTTTTCCGCGGCGCTGCCAACTCGGCCTTTTTGGGGGGTGGGCTTCGCGGGCCTGCAGGCCCCGCGGCGTCGGCCGTGGGTGGCGCGGGGCGCGGGCCGGGGTCGCCGGCGTGGCCCGCGCGCGCCGCCCGCCCCGGCGGCGCCCACTCCCCCGGGAAGCGGCGCGCGCCGACCGCCACCCGGCGGAATCTGGGTCAGCGGCGGGCTCTCGGACCGCGGGCGAGTTTGGGGACTCGTCGCGGCGGCCGGAGGTGGGGAGGGGACGTGGGGGCGTAATCCGCTTCTCTCTCCCCGCGGGGTGAGGACCTTCGGCGTGTCGGGTGGTAGTGGCCTGACTCCGAATCTGCTGCCTGGAGACGGCTTCACCAAACTCAGCAAATGGGCCGTCGTAGTTTTGTGCTCGCAAGATGGGTTCGGCGAGACGCAGTGATGCGCCCTCGCCGCTGTCGCCTCGGTTAAAAGAGACGGGATTGGGAGGGGCCACGTGAGGCGGGGTCGCGGTCAACTTTTTGGGGGTCGGGCGCGAGGCGTTTCCGCCTCCTTTTTCGCGGGCGCCTCCTCGGGCCTCACCCTGCGCTCCCGGCCCGGGGCGGAGGCGCGAGGGGGAGCGCGCACTGGGGAGAGGGGGAGGCGACCCCTTTTTCCTTTCGGGGAGTCCCCGCCCCGTTGGGGTTTCCAGTCTGTGGGAGCGGCGGGCCCGCCCGGAGCCTCGCCGTCGGGGTCGCAGGGGGCAGCGCTGTGCCGCTGCGGCGTGCGGCCCTCGCCCGGGAAGGGACGGGCGACCCCCACGTCCGCGCCTCAGTGTGTTTCCCCGCGAGGTGCCGGTGCGCGGCGGCTTCCAGCGGGGGCCGAGCCGGGCAGGGCTTTTCGCGTTCGGCGCGTGCAGTGGGGACTCCAGATTCTTGCTGTTGTTGTTGTTCTTTTTAAAGTCTCCGTTTCCCTGAAATTGGCAGGAGACGGAGAGAAGGAAACAGTCGCTGCTATCGGGGTCATCCCGGAGGGGACGTGACGTTTTCCAGAGCGTATTCTTAGAGGCGTCAGGGAAAAAATAAATAAATAAAAACATGGAGCTTTAAAAGTTGTCTCCCCGAAGCCCACGTTTGGGAGGCTTTTATACCATGGCGCGGGGTGGGGAAATGGCTGTGGCCCCTCGCGCCCCCTGCCCGTTCCCCCGCCTAGTGGTCCATCCTTGCTCGCTGCCGGTTTGCAGCTCCTCCTTCTCCGCCGTGGGTTGCTAACGGTCCCTTCGTCGTGTTTGTACAGACAGTTGACAGAGTGCTCTCCGCGTTTATTGACTTTTCTCCTGCGGACGCACTTGTAAGGTGGATGGTGTTGTTTCAGAATCCAGACAAACAAATGGAATCCCAGGGCGGGGATGTGATTGGCTCTAGTGGAAGAACTGGTTTTCTGACACCAAAGCTGGTAGCTCTCTCAGCACCCGGCTAAACCCCGGGGTCAGAAAGCTTTAGAGCGTCCTAGCGCGGGTCTGCCACAGACTCATTGTGTGGCCTTGGGAAGTCCTTCCTGCGGCTCTGGGCCTGGGTGTTCTCATCTTTAAAGGGAGGATCGGATGCCTTCTGCGCGCCCTGAAGTCATTCTCTCAAAGTCGTATTCAGCTGGAGAAGGTGCCTTCCTTGTTGCTGATCGTCAGCCCTCCTGTGCATGGAGGGGAGAGACCAGGTCCTCTGCCTTCCTCCCTAAGATTCATTCCATTCAGGTTCACAGCACGAGGCTGTGTTACTACAACTCTGCCCAAACAGGGCACCCTGCCTGCCGCCTCCCTCCAAGAATGGGAAACGTGCCGGAGTGGCAGGGAGAAATAGCGTTTTCTCAAGGATGGATTGTTCTGGGTGATCTTGTTTGGCCTCAGTGTTGGAACAAACAACCCCCCTCCCTCCCAAGCTGAACTGCCCCAGAAGGAGCTTTCTGGTGTTCAGGAAGGGTAGCAGGGTGGTGTTTTTTTGTTTTTGTTTTTTTTTTTGAGTTATGATGGCATTTGTCAACTAAAATAAGGAGCTTTAAACGAGAGAATGTAATAGAAGTTTCCTGTCTTCTGCCTGCCGTTAGGGCAGCTCTCTTGAACATTTCCAGGAAGTAGCCCCTGTGTCCCTTCGCTGCATACAATTATGCCCTGATGTGGACAGTCCCCCTCATGGGGGCCAGAAACCGGTTTCACATGGGACCTTTTTGAAAGTTCTGTGTTTTATGCCTCAGTAACTTAAAGCAGGCCTTGAACTTCTTAGTCCACATTTAAGTGTCAAAGATTGCTCAGAGTGACGACTGTAGGTTGTGCTGCAGTGTCTGGGAGAATGGAAAGGACCCGTGGGAGTGGATTGATGTCTTTAATATTCACACTTCCCGAGTGTCAAGACCACGTCTGTTGCTAAACAGATCGAAAACTAAAGGTTCATTACTGTGCTCCTTCTTACAGGTGACAGAGTTAGTCCTTGATAACTGCCTTTGTGTCAATGGGGAGATTGAAGGTCTGAATGATACTTTTAAAGAACTGGAGTTTCTGAGTATGGCTAATGTGGAACTCAGTTCTTTGGCCCAGCTTCCCAGCTTAAATAAACTTCGAAAGGTAAGTTGGGATTAGTGTGAAAGCATCATAATTTAAATACCCAGGGCTGTTATGTTCTAGTTTTTGCCCAAATGAAAGGACCATTCTGCCTGTTAATTAGTTACTAAGGTTCTATAGATAAGAAAAAAAGAGGTATGTAGGATTTTGGAACAGGGTATGATATTGCATTTGGAAATTCAAATTTAGTAGTGAAATTGCTTTATGACATGAGTTTGGATTTAACATCACCAAATATTTCCCTGTGAGTCATAACACCAAAATGTAACACAACTGAAAGCAGAGCAGTTAGGATCCCATTCTGTAGGTGTTCTCGTTTATTATTCGGCAGCTGGAGATGAGAATTTGGAAATTAATGATATGTAGTGACAATCTCTTGAAGCCAGAGAGAATGACAGATGTTTTTTTCCTTCAGATTGATGTACTTTTAAAATCTTTGATCTGTCCTAAGCTTTCATCCATCATACTTTTTCTCCCCATGTTGAATATATAGCTGGAACTTAGTGACAATATAATTTCTGGAGGCTTGGAAGTCCTGGCAGAGAAATGCCCAAATCTTACCTACCTCAATCTGAGTGGAAACAAAATCAAAGATCTCAGTACGGTTGAAGCTCTGGTAAGTGGAAGGATTTTGTCTGTGGATATGCTCTTTTTTGTTTACAATTTCTCTCTTCACTTCTATTATACGCAATGCTATTAGAGTTCTGGCTGCTCCAGTTCCAATCCAGCTCCCTGCTAGTGGCCTGGGAAGACAGTGGAAGATGGCCCGAGTGCTTGGGCCCCTGCACCTGCGTGGGAGACTGAAATGGAGTTCCTAGCTCCTGGCACTTGCCTGGCCCAGACCATGCTGTTGTGGCTGTTTGGAGAGTGAACCAGTGGATGGAAGACTGATCTCTCTCTTTTCTTCTCTCTCTGCCTTTCAAATAAATAAATCTTTAAAATTTGTTTATTTGAGAGACAGAGAGGTCCCATCTGCTGGTTTACTCCCCAAATGCCCACAGTGGCTAGGGCTGGGCAGGACTGAAGCCAACAGCCAGGAACTCGATCCAGGTCTCCTGTGTGCGTGGCAGGAACTCAAGTGCTGGAGCCATCACTGCTGCCTCCCAGGGTCGGCATTAGCAGGAAGCTGGAGTGAGGAGCTGGAGCTGGGAATTAAAATCAAACCCAGGACTCTGCTGTGGGACGTGGGTGTCTTAAGTCGAGTTTTAGCTGCCAGGCTGAATGCACACTCCTACCTGAATTTTTAAATCAGTGAGAAATTTGTTTCACCATGAACTCAAAGAGTTAAGTGTCTAATTTTAAAATTTCAAGTAATTTTTAACTTCTTTTTCTTCTTGATTGCTTTTTTGATTATTCTATTGTTTGGCCGTTTGTTTCCTGGCACGAGGGAAGGAAAATAAGATGAAGTGAAACTCTGAAGATTGCTGTTGTGACTTAAATGGGTTGTCTGCTATAAGTAAGACACCAAGGTGCTGGAGAGACAACAGTGAACATCTCGGGATGTTTCCATGCCAGGGACTGATTCAGAGAGTTGGCTGTGCTGTATATCATAACCCTTCATTATAAAATTCTAAAAATCCAAAAACCATTTTCTCCATTTCAAATATATGCTTCTGAACTGTGAATTTAGAAGGACTAGCATGGCATTTTAAATCTTGAATGTAAGTTTTGATTTTACTTTTCCAGCAAAATCTTAAAAATTTGAAAAGTCTTGACTTGTTTAACTGTGAGATCACAAACCTGGAAGATTACAGAGGAAGCATTTTTGAACTGCTGCAGCAAATCACATACTTGGATGGGTTTGATCAGGAGGATAACGAAGCCCCAGACTCTGAAGAAGAGGATGACGAGGGTAATCTTCCTTCATACTCGCGAGCCTGTCATAATTACCACCTCCACGCAGCCCTGTGGTTTAGACGGGGCCTGCCTGGAGACTAAGGTGTGAAAGGTAAACCCAAGATACTAGTGAGACCAAAGTCTTAAACCCCACAACTCCAGCCTTTATTTCTTTTTCTTTTCGGATTTCCAATAGTCTCAGGGAATTTAATGATTATTATAATTTGAAGCTCCATGAGATTTTATATGTATATACAGTTGTGTCACTGCCACTTGGTAAAAATGGCAGCTTTCTAAATAGTACTTCTTAGAAAAAGAAGCGTTTCATTAGAGCCAAAAAGTAGAAACAGTTCAGGTGGCCGTCAACTAACAAATGGATTAAAAAATTTGATAAATCAATACAATGCCGTGAAGGCGGAGGGAACCCTGGTGGATGCAACAGGGGCAGAATCTTGAAAACATTCTGCTGAGTGAGAAGCCAGACACAAAGGCAGCATGTTGCTGGATGTAATTTTTTTTTCGGGGGGCGGGGGTGGCTAGAGAAGGCCTGGAGAGGTTTATTACACAGGGAGGGGCTCGGTGCTTCTTCCAGCAGCTTTCCTCATGGTGGCCAGGACACTGCAGCTGCTCGTGCTTCCTCTTGCCTGAGGTGTGTGTCCCCATCCTTTTCTTGATGACCTTGAGGGCCCATTTGCCCTTGGAAACCTTGAGCAGCTCCACGGCGCAATGCACACCTCCACACGAACTTGGGTTGCTTGGTGAGGCGTCGGCGTCGGCGTCGGCTGTGCCTCGGCTTGCTCACGTTCTTGGTCGCCTTGTGGCCTTTGTTGAGGCCCACAGCCAAGGGGTAGCTCTGAGCCAGGACTGCGGCTTTCCAATGGCCACCGGGGCTGAAGTGCTTGGTTTGATTGATATGGAAAGTCTGGAATTGGCAAGCTCCTGGCAACAGAAGGTGAATTAGTGGGCGCTAAGGCCTGAGGGGAGAGGAGAATGGGCAGTGACACTAATAGGTATGGGAATTCTTTCTGGGTACTGAGACGTATTCTAGGATTAGGTAGTGAAGATACATTTTAGATAAAGGGACAACTGCCAGGTTTGATGACTCAGTGGCTGTTGGCAGTGTTGAAGCACTGGTCGTTACTCTTGGGTGAAAGGTTTTCAGTATGAAAAGAAAATTGGTGGATAAACAGTGTTTTTTTTTTTGAAATTTTTTTTATTTTTTGACAGGCAGAATGGACAGTGAGAGAGAGACAGAGAGAAAGGTCTTCCTTTTTGCCGTTGGTTCACCCTCCAATGGTTGCTGTGGCTGGCGCACCACGCTGATCTGAAGCCAGGAGCCAGGTGCTTCTCCTGGTCTTCCATGTGGGTGCAGGGCCCAAGGACTTGGGCCATCCTCCACTGCACTCCCGGGCCACAGCAGAGAGCTGGCCTGGAAGAGGGGCAATTGGGACAGAATCTGGCACCCCGACTGGGACTAGAACCCAGTGTGCCGGCGCCGCAAGGCGGAGGATTAGCCTATTGAGCCATGGCGCCGGCCCAAGAATGGGATTTTTAAAATGTGTTTATTTTCATTTTATTTGAAAGGCAGGGAGAGAGATCTTTGATCTGCTGGTTCACTCCCCAGTGGCCTACAACTGCCAAGACTGTAGCAGGCTAAAGCCAGGAGTCCTGGGCCACAGCAGAGGGCTGGCCTGGAAGAGGGGCAACCGGGACAGAGTCCAGCACCCTGACTGGGACTAGAACCCGGTGTGCCGGCGCCACGGATTAGCCTATTGAGCCATGGCGCCGGCCAGAAAATTGGTGGATAAACAGTGTTCTAACATGATAGATGGTGATGCAGTTTTGAAGTGTCCACAAAGTAAAACAAACTTTATGTAATGTTTTGATGAAAATCTATATATTGGGTATATATCAGTGTTTAGAAAACCGTAGTTCTCAAATAGTAAATATCGGTGTTGTAAAACAGACATTAAAAAGACAAAATTTGTCAATCTGATTGGCAGGTGTCTTCCCCCCCCTCACCCCCCCCCCCCCCGGCCACAATTGTTCTTAAAAACTTCACTACCACCAGCCCCTTTAGGGTCTTTGCCTCTCTTAGAGCCCCTTCCATGTCACTCTGGCTGGAGGTCCCTGACTTAAACCTTGCTTTTAAATCTTTTAAAAATAAATAAATAAATAAGAAAGAGAAAATTAGCCTGAGAGAGCGTTCCACCATAGGCTTAATATTTGAAGTAGTTGGGTAAGTAAGATCAGCATTATAACAAAGGAACATTCACCTGGCCATTTGTTTATCTTTAAAAATGGTTTCAAAGATGGTGATGAAGATGATGATGAAGAAGAAGATGAAGCCGGTCCACCTGAAGGATTTGAGGAAGAGGAGGAAGAAGAAGAGGAGGATGAGGATGAGGATGAGGATGAAGCAGGCTCAGAAGTGGGAGAGGGAGAAGAAGTGGGCCTCTCATACTTAATGAAAGATGAAATTCAGGTGAATACATACTTCTTATGTCCATTGAAAATTAATTAGGCGTAGAGCTAAGTGCCATAGAGTGAGTTGTGCAGAAATCTGAGAGTTGTTCCTGCCTGTCTTTGTCCCCTTTGTCCTCCACACCTTTCTACAGCCAGATAATCACCAACACCTGGTTTTACCTCCCAATGTCTTTCAAATCCATTCTGTCCTCAGTAGCATGGTATGATGTAAACATTGTATAATGTCCCTGTGCCTCAGTTTCTGCATTTGTGAAACTGAAATTATACCAGCTTCATATGATTGTTGTAAGGATTTAACAAGATAAAAATACCTAGTCCCTGGCACGTTGTAGAAAACCGAAGTTTCTTCCCCGTAATTATCTCTGCTCACGCTGTTGGTCTTTGAGTGCGGTGTCACTGCTTCTGACTGACCCCAGTGGTGCCTGGGTAGCCCTGTACAGATGTGGTTTTAACACTGGCTTCTTGCAGCCATTTCTTTTTCCCTGTGGCCCCCACGACATACCGGGCTCTTTCTCATTGGCTCCTGCTTCCTTCACTGGTCTTACCACCTCAACACCAAATTAAGTCATCACATCAAGCTATGCTTGCCTTCACGTTTGTGTATACATTGTGCACTTTGATCTGAATGATTCTACCCATGCTCTCTGTGGACATTATTTTCATATTTGCTGAGGCTGTGCAATAATTTTATGTACAGCTTCATGGAATTTTATCTATGTGGTATACTATGTCATACCCACTCAAAACATGCCTTATGAATGCTGATCTTTACAAATTTAAATCTGGAGTCTTCATCATCGAAGCTTCCTATAATTTTTCTAAAGGATTGTTCCTTCCTTTGTTATCTGTAAACCTTAATTAGGCTCCTGTTGCCTACAGACACTTTGTAAGAGGCTTGTCAGACATTTTTTTGTCCACTTTCTACTTGTGCTGAGCCTGGGGGGAGGGGCACTTCATCTGCATTTCAGCATCAGTATTGGCATGTGGGACAAAGGTCATTAGAGGGTTTAGAGAAGTTATTTTCTCCTTATGTTAAGTTGAAGTTCATTTTCCTAATTCATAACTAAGTTTTTTTAATATTTAAAAGCATCTCTTATTTAGACTAGAAATTTGTTAGTATTATTTGTTCTCCTAATGACTTTTAAATTGGTTAGATTTAAATTGGTTAGAAATCACTAATCAATGATTTTTTTTCTGATTCCATTCGTTTTAAAGATGTATTTATGATTTTTTATAAAGATTTATTTATTTATTTGAAAGTCAGAGTTACACAGAGAGAAAAGGAGAGACAGAGAGAGAGAGAGAGAGAGGGGTCTTCTATCCGCTGGTTCACTCCCCAGTTGGCCGCAATGGCCAGAGCTGCATCGATCCGAAGCCAGGAGCCAGGAGCTTCCTCCAGGTCTTCACATGTGAGTGGAGGGCCCCAAGGACTGGGCCATCTTCTGCTCTCCCAGGCCATAGGAGAGAGCTGGATCGAAAGTGGAGCAGCCGGGTCTCGAACCGGTGCCCATATGGGATGTTGGCACTTCAGGCGGCGCCTCTGCCAGCTACGCCACAGCGCTAGCCCCAATGATTTCTTAAAAAAAATTATTTATTTATTTATTTGAGAGGTAGAGTTATATTATAGACAGAGAGAGGGAGAGACAGAGAGAAAGATTTTCCCTCCTCTGGTTCTCTCACCAAATGGCCGCAAAGGCTGGAGGTGGGCCAATCTGAAGCCAGGAGCCAGGAGCTTTTTTTGGGTCTCCCATGACGGTGCAGGGGCCCGAGTACCTGGGCCATCTTCTACTGTTTTCCCAGGCCATAGCAGAGAGCTGGATCAGAAGAGGAACAGCCAGGACATGAACTGGTACCCACATGGGATGCTGGCGCACAGGCAGAGGCTTAGCCCACAGCACCAATTATGCCACAGCACCAACCCCTTTATGATTTATTTTGAAAGTCAGAGTTACAGAAAGAGAGAGGGAGAGACACTGAGAGATATCTTCCATCTGCTGGTGCACTCCCCAGAAGGCCACAATGACTAGTGCTGTGCCAGTTCGAAGACAGCAGCCAGGAGCTTCTTCCAGGTCTCCCACATGGGTGGCAGTGACCCAGACACTTTGGCCATCTTCCACTTTTTTCCCCAGGCCATTAGCAGGGAGCTAGTTCAGAATTGGAACAGCTGGGACTTGAACCAGCACCCAAATTGGATGCTGGCGTTGTAGGCTATGGCTTTACCTGCTACACCACCACTCCAGCCCCTCTAATATCATTTTAAATATAAAACTAGTGTGGAAAGATTAGAACTTACACTTGTTTGGAGGCCTTAGTAAGTTAAGAACTAGATGTTAATGAAGAACAGAACTTTAAATATTTTAAGTGTTCATAGAGAAAGCCTGTTCACTTTATACTAGCATAGAACTTGTTTTCCCCCAAGTTTTCATTTATTTGGTAAAATAACTGGCTGTGTTCTTTTGCGTTTGGCTGTTTTTTTTGTTTGTTTGTTTTTGTTTTTGTTTTTTGCTTTGCTAGTATATCATTCTTAAGTCTAAGTATATTAAGTAATTTTAAAAGGTTTACTCATTTTTATTTATTTGAAAGGTAGAGTAGAGTGATACAGAGAGAAACAGAGAGAGAGGTCTTCTAAGCAGTCGTTCATTCCTCATACGGCTGCAACAGCTGGACAGAGCTGGAGCCAGGAACTCTGAGTCTCCCAGATGGGTGGCATGGACCTAACTTGGTGAGCCATCACTTGCTGCCTCCCAGCCCATTGGCAGGGAGCTGGATTGGAACCAGAGGTGGGACCGGATCCCAGGCACTTAGATGTAGAATAAGGGTGTCCTAAGAGGGCTTAACTTACTGTGGCACTGTGCTGGCTGGCCCCTGTATTAAGAATTTTAGAATGACCTTCAACTACTTGGAAAATGCTAATATCATTAAATATTGGGAGATATTAACAAAAAATGATATGGTCAATTATGAAGTAAAAATCTCTAAGATAATATACACAACACTAAGTCACTGTAGGAGTAACAGAGAGCAAAAATTTTCATTCATGATAATTTGGATGCTTAAAATGAAGTCTTGTTTTTATACCCTGAATGCCAGAAGCGTCATAGACTATTGAGATTAAGTAAGAAATAGAAGAAAATAGGAAACGTATATTAGCTGTTTTTTATTTGAGTCTTTACTTTCTTCATATTTCAGCTGTTCTTCAGAGGCAAGGAATTTGTATTTATAAAGGACTTTATGTGTGGTATATCTAATTAAAAATGGAGGTGGGGGCGGTGGGAGTATTGGGAATTATTGTGCCCTTGTCCTACTCACAGCACAAACAAGGAAACATTTTATTTCCCACTAATAAGGAGGAGACCATGGTCTACACTGGGCAAATCTCTGGTTTTTATTGAGAGCAATGTTTGACAGATTATTGTCTTTTTCACAAAAGTCATCTTAAAAACATGATTGCGTAACTGTTATCACATTTATTTAAAACAAAATCCAGAGACATAATTAACTTTTTAGATTTGGAGTTCTCTAAATTATCAAGGAATAGATTAAAAAAAGATAAAAACTTTTTAAAATTGTAAATATTTAAATACCCTCTTTTGTTATTCTTTGCAAATTTGAGGTGTTTGCAGTGTCTTTTCCTCCTTCCCTGTCCCCTCCCCTTTCCTGCTGCTCTGTCCCCCACCCCTCCCCTTTCCTGCTCCTCTGTCCTCCACCCTCTTCTCTTCCTTCCTTTTCTTTTCTCTTCTCTTCCTTCCTTTTCTTTTCTCTTCCTTCCTTTCCTTTTCTTTTCTTTTCTTTTCTTTTCTTTTCTTTTCTTTTCTTTTCTTTTTCTCTTCTCTTCTCTTCTCTTCTCTTCTCTTCTCTTCTCTTCTCTTCTCTTCTCTTCTCTTCTCTTCTCTTCTCTTCTCTTCTCTTCTCTTCTCTTTTCTTTTCTTTTCTTTCTTTTTTTTCATTTTAAGGCCGCAGGTTCTTTGATTTTTTTTACTGTGCTCCTTTTAAACCTCTTTGCTGCTCTCTCTGTTCCTCCTGCTCCTTGTGGCTTACTGGTGTCCCTGTGTGGCAAAGCTTCATAGTGTTTCAGCTGACTGTAAGAATGGTTTCTGACGTCAAGAATCATGCAGTTTAGATTCTCACAGGCGTCTGGCTCAGTGCTGGAAGATTTTGTTCTGTTTGTTGTTTCTGGACACAAATGGGACGTAGAAACTGTGCAAGGGGATTGTCCAGGTTTTCCCTAGCTCCTCAGCGGTTCTTGATATTTATCAGTTGGTTAGGGTATTTTTGAAGACAAGTAAACGTTTGTGGCATTGAGGGGAAACTGTAGGTTGCTTTAATTTTATTCAGATGGTTACTAGCGATTCATCTATTTGCGACTGAGCTGTCTGGGACATGGCCAAGAACAAGGTAGTACATGTAAAAGGGCTGGGGCTGACAAAATGTAAGTAACAAGAGACATTTGTAGGAGAGTGTTCAAGCTAAACCCGTTTTCTCTTTTATGTTCCATTCTCTTGATAAGCTTGTTCATCTATTTTCTGATTCTGTTTTAGATTGAAATTGAAATAAAACTAACTATAAAAGAGAAGGCATACAAATTAGTTATTCAAAGTGAAGTCCAAGGTTTTTTTTTTTTTTAAGATTTATTTATTTATTTATTTATTTGAAAGGCAGAGTTTACAGAGCGAGAAAGAGACAGAGAGAGATCTTCCATCTGGTGGTTCCCTTCCTAATGGCCATGACAGCCAGAGCTGGGACAGGCTGAAGCTAGGTTCCAGGAGCTTCTTCCAGGTTTTCCACATGGGTGCAGGGGCCCAAGGACTTGGATCATCTTCTACTGCTTTCCCAGGAACATTAGCAGGGAGCTGGATCCAAAGTGCAGCAGCTGAGATTTGAACTGTCTCCCATATGTGATGCCAGTGCTGCAGGCAGTGGTTTTATCTGCTATACCACAACACCGGCCCCTCCAGGGTCATTTTAAAAGGGAGAAAAGCATCCTACATATATTAAGAGGTTCTGAGGGTATCAGCATAATGTTCTTGTTGAACGTGATAACAGTAGGAAAAGAGGTGAACATGATTATTCAAGAGAAAGTTATGTTAGTAACATGCAGTACACTTTAGATTTATATTCAAATTGGCTAGAGTAAAAAATTGTTAGAGGGGCCGGCACTGGCATAGTAGGCTACCTGTGGCGCCAGCATCCGATATGGACGCTGGTTTGAGTCACAGCTGCTCCATTTCTGATCTTGCTCTCTGTTATGACTTGGGAAAGCAGTAGAAGATGGCCCAAGTGCTTGGACCCCTGCACCCGCCTGGGAAACCTGGAAGAAACTCCTGGCTCCTGGCTTCAGATCAGCGCAGCTCCAGCTGTTACAGCAATCTGGGGAGTGAACTAGCAGATGGAAGACCTCTCTCTCTCTCTCTCTCTCTCTCTCTCTCTGTGCCTCTGCCTCTCTGTGCCTCTGCCTCTCTGTAGCTCTGCCTTTCAAATAAGTAAGTAAGTAAATAAATAAATAAATATTTAACAAAAAATGGTTAAGATGCTTCAAGTCAATCCTAGCTATCTAGAACACCTCACTCCATAAGAGTTGTAGGTCAGGTTTTACTATGATTTTTATTGACATGTACTATTTTGTTGTATAGATTTCTAGATATAAAAGGAACTTACAGATCTTTTTAGATGAATACAGTTGAGTATCCCAAATGCTTGGACCAGAAGTGTTTCAAATTTTGGATTTCAGAATATTTGTATATACGTAAGGAGATCTTGGGAATGGGATCCAAATCTAAGCAAGAAATTCTCTTGTGGTTCATGTCCACTTTGTACATATATCCTGAAGGTAATTGAATGCAGTATTTTTTTAAAAAAGATTTATTTATTTATTTGAAAGAGTTACACAGAGAGAGGAGAGGCAGAGAGAGAGAGAGAGAGAGGTCTTCCATCTGATGGTTCACTCCCCAGTTGGCCGCAATGGCTGGAACTGCGCCAATCTGATGCCAGGAGCCAGGAGCTTCTTCCAGGTCTCCCATGTGGGTGCAGGGGCCCAAGGACTTGGACCATCTTCTACTGCTTTCCCAGGCCATAGCAGAGAACTGGATGGGAAGTGGAGCAGCTGGGACTAGAACTGGCATATGGGATGCTGGCGCTTCAGGCCAGGGCGTTAACCTGCTGTGCCACAGTGCCAGCCCCGAGTGCAGTATTTTCAGTGTGTCTGCATTTTGAATGCACCCTGTGTGTGAGGTTAGGTGTGGAATTCTCCACTTGTCACATCATGTTGGCATTCAGAAAGTTTCAGATTTTGGATTTTTGGATTAAGGATGCTTGACCTGTACTTTACTGTTCAGAAAATTGAGGTCCAGAAAGCTAACAATATTGGGGCTAGAATTCAGATCATTACTACCTAAAATAGAAGAACCCTGTTTTTAAATTACTCAAAAGTTGTTCTCTCCATTATGGTAGCTAGTAGATATATACAGCTATTGAAATTAATTGAAATTAGGGCTGGCGCTGCAGCTCACTAGGCTAATCCTCCATTGCGGCGCTGGCACCCGGGTTTTAGTCACAGTTGGGGCGCTGGATTCTGTCCCAGTTGCCCCTCTTCCAGTCCAGCTCTCTGCTGTGGCCTGGGAGTGCAGTGGAGGATGGTCCAAGTGCTTGGGCCCTGCACCCACCCGCATGGGAGACCAGGAGGAAGCACCTAGCTCCTGGCTTCGGATCGGCGCAGCGCTGGCCGTAGCGGCCATTTGGGGAGTGAACAAATGGAAAGAAGACCTTTCTCTCTGACTCTCTCTCTCTCTCACGGTCTCATTCTGCCTGTCCAAAAATAAATAAATAAATAAATAAATCAATCAAATTAATTGAAATTAAATAAAACTAAAAATTCAGTTCCTCATTTGCACTGGTTCCATTTCAGATGCTCAGTAGGCATGTGACTGGTGGTTACTGTATGCATACCACAAAGAACACGTCCATTGTTGCAGAAGGTTCTTTTGAATAGTGCTTGTCTAAAACATAACTTATTTTCATAAAGAGACTAGAGATTGGCAGAAGTTGTCAGAACACAGAATAACCATAGTTTCTTTGCTGCTGTTGGAATGTGTTAAAACAAATGATAAAAATTCTTTATCATGGTTTATTCTCATACTGGATATTTGAATTTCAAGGATGAAGAAGATGATGATGACTATGTCGAAGAAGGGGAAGAAGAGGAAGATGAAGGTGAGTTACATTAGCCATAAACAAATTTTGAAATTAAAGATGTACCCACCTATTGTTTGCAGACTTTAAAAAGTAAATCTATAATGTAAATTATTTGTGATCTCCTTGATTTTGCTGTGTTTATTAAAGAGTGCCTTGAAAGTATGAAATTTTTTTTAAAGATTTTATTTATTTATTTGACAGGTAGAGTTACAGACAGTGAGAGAGAGACAGAGAGAAAGGTCTTCCTTCCTTTGGTTCACTCCCCAAATGGCTGCAACGGATGGAGCTATGCTGATCTGAAGCCAGGAGCCAGGTGCTTCTTCCTGGTCTCCCATGCCAGTGCTGGCGCCCAAGCACTTGGGCCATCCTCCACTGCCTTCCCGGGCCACAGCAGAGAGCTGGACTGGAGGAGAAGCAACTGGGACTAGAACTCGGTGCCCATATGGGATGCCTGCGCCACAGGCGGAGGATTAACCTGCTGCGCCATGGCACCAGCGCCATAAAATTATTCTTAAAGAATAATTATCTCTGAGGCCAGTGCTGTGGTGCAGCAGGATAAAGCACCAGCCTGCAGCCTGGAGTCATATGTGGGCGCTGATTTGAGTCCCGGTTGCTCCTCTTCCGATCCAGCTCTCTGCTATGGCCTGGGAAAGCAGTAGAAGGTGGCCCAAATGCTTGAGCCCCTGCACCCACGTGGGAGACCCTGAAGAAGCTCCTGGCTCCTGGCTTCGGATCAGTGCAGCTTTGGCCGTTGTGGTCATTTGGGAAGTGAACCGCGGAATAAGACCTCTCTCTCTCTGGTTCTACCTTTCTCTGTAATTCTGTCTTTCAAATAACATTTATTTTGAAAATGAGACTGACAATTTATTATTTCTTTACTATTTATTATACTATTTATTATTTATTTATTTATTTTAAGAGATTTATTTATTTATTTGAAAGAGTTACATAAAGAGAAGGAGAGGCAGAAAGTGTTCATTCCCCAGATGGCCACAACGGCCGGAGCTGTGCTAACACAAAGGCAGGAGCCAGAATATTCTTTTAGGTCTCCCATGTGGGTACAGGAGCCCAAGGATTTGGGCCATCTTCTGTTTTCCCAGGCTATGGCAGAGAGCTGATTGGAAGTAGAGCAGCAGGGACTGGAACCGGCGCCCGTATGGGATGCCGGCACTGCAGGCTATGGCTTTACCCCCAACAGCACAGTGCTGGGCCCCATAGATAATAGATAATGCCCTTTTTATATTCACTCTAGGTACTCTTTTTTTTTTTTTTTAATATTTTATTTATTTATTTGAGTGGTAGAGTTACAGTGATAGGGAAAGACAGAGGGAAAGGTATTCCATCCGTTGGTTCATTCCCCAAATGGCCACAACAGCTGAAGCTGAGCTGATCTGAAGCCAGGAGCCAGGAGCTTCTTCTGGATTTCCCATGCGGGTGCAGGGGCCCAAGGAGTTGGGCCATCTTCTAGTGCTTTCCCAGGCCATAGCAGAGAGCTGGATTGGAAGAGGAGCAGTCAGGCTTAGAACCTGGCGCCCATATGGGATGCCGGTGCCGTAGGTGGAGGTTTAACCTACTGAGCCACAGCGCCAGCGCCATCTCTAGTACTCTACTTGGTCTTTCAAAATAAGTTTTAAAAATTTGCTGACTATTCCGTTGATGTCAGGCCCTTAGTTTCTTGATCTGTACTTCATGATTTGGCCACAAGGGTGCATAACAAGCTGTCATTATTTATGGATTTAACTCTAAAGTGTTCTATACACCAAAATGGAAAGAAACTCAGGAAAATCTACCTATAATTTTCTTCTGCCATTAACTTTTCACTAAGATTCAAAACTTTTAACAAATATATTTGTTCAAATTAGGTGTTTTACACTTTTTCTTTCACTCCTCTTTCAGAAGAAGAGTGTCTTCGAGGGGAGAAGAGGAAACGAGATGCTGAAGACGATGGAGAGGAAGAAGATGACTAGATCATTCTGAGACGGAGGCCCTAATGTTCCTGGGTGTGCAATGGAGTGATCAGTTCTTCCTCTGTTTCTCTGTGTACAATAGCTGTCCCTTCAGAAGAGATTGTGTAACTTTTTATAGGAGAAGTTTGGTTTTACTATTTTTGCCTTATCATTCCAAATAAGAGTTACTAGTATGTTAATGATCATATTGTATGTAGAGAATAATTTTCATTGGCCCCTATTGTGAAATTCCCTAGCAGTTTATTTAGAATCTTAATTTCTCTAATTCAGGCTCACTGTATTAGTCATTTTTAGCTCATAATTAAAACATGATCGCTTTTACACAGGTGTAGTTTGGTGCATTTCATTCATAAGGTTTTAAAGTTATTTATAAATTAACTAAGATTACAGTCAGTTGTAATATGAAATAACAGTCGTTGCTTGAATAAGCTGGTTATTTTTTTAGAGGTGATCCAGAGATCTTCAGTTGAAGGAAATGGCTTGTTTTTGGGCTAAGGACATTTGCGTGCTTTCTCTGTCACAAGAGTAACTTGGAAAGGAGGAGCAGAATAGTAAAGGTTCTACTCAGCAGTCTAGTTCATGGGTTGTGTGGAGGTTCTGTTCAATAATGTAGTCCGTGGGTTTGTTGGGACTGATAAGATTTTATCTTTGAAGGAAGAGTCGCTCATACTAAACCTATAGTCCTGCAGGCGAGCCCTCTCCTCAGGCTGCAGATCACAACATGCCAGCGCTTGGCTAGTGTTTTGCTTCTAGCTGTGAGCATTCTTTTCCTCTCAACAGTTCCTTTATGATCACCTTCTTTCAATGTGTTGCTCCCTCCTTTATCCCAAAATAAAGTAGGAAACTTGTGGAGATACCCAGGAAAACTTCTAGTTTTAAACCTTACCTCCCTTTTCAGACCTGAGTTTTAAACAAGGAAAGGAAAAGAAATGGACTGTCTTCAGAGGCACAGATATTATTATTGCTATGATTTTATGCAACAAGCTGTGCTTAGGTCTTTCTTGGTTGACAACACCTCAGACTGCGTTTCCTGACTGATCACATGTGAGACTGTATTAGGGGATGAAGAGAGAAAAGCAGCAGAGGCGGCTTTGGGGAGCACATTAGTGCTCTAAGAAGTCAGAAAGTTGCCTGTTGATCATTATGATGTGTTCAAGTGAAACTTTTAACTTGGCTTCTCAAATGATTTGCATACCATTCTACAAAGTATTGATAATACTGAGTAGAACCTTTAATTATTTTTCCTATAGTTTTAAAGCATTGTGGATGTGGATATGGCATTTAATTGAAATACACTAGGCAGCTGGAAAATCTTTTAAACTAAATTGATACTAAAGTTGACTTGCTTTCAAGTGGATGTCCATTAAAAATACAAAAAATCTGGGATAAGTGTGAGTGTTTGTTTCCTTACATGGCTACTAAATAAAGTTCACTGAGTAGACGAGTGCATTTCCCTTCTTGTCACTGAGGCTCCGTGTTCAAGGCAATTGCTTTTTTTAAATTTCAATTATCTAAAGTTTTGTTTGTTAAAAAGTGTCATCATACTAATTGAAATTTCGCTTCAATACTGGGACACATTTAAATTACTGAGTATAGTTTTTCTGCTGCTTTATTAGTTTAAAATGTATGCTTTATGTTTTAAAGTAAAAGTGAAGTTATTTGTGGAGAAACTAAAAAAGTTGCACAACTGACTGAAATAAAACACTTGGGGTAAGTTTAGTGGAGGGATTGGGCTCTTCCAAAAGACTTTCACATTTTCCTCCTAATTTCCCGAGTTGAAATGCCCTGTTTTAGTCCCTAAGAATTCTCATTGCGTACTATGCCAGATTATAAAATACTTATTTTTAAAATGAAATCTATATATTGACTTTCTTATAAATCATCATATTGTGCAATCAAAATTAAGAGTTCTTTGAAAACAACACCTAGAGTCTCCGGATAACTTTTAAGACTTCTGTAGTTTTGTGGGTGGTATTTTCATGCAAACAGGTAAGGGTGGGTTTTATATTTTGTAGACGTTTTTGGTCCTACTTTAATGCTCTTTGTATGGCAGTATGTAGGTAGTGTGTTAAGTTCCTCAAGAATCTCTCCTTAAAAACTTTGAAGTTAATACTTTTGTGCAACTGTGTTTTGAATAAAGCCATGACAGTGTTAAAAATACAGTAAATACAGTACTCCCGGTCATTCTTCTATTGTTTCTATCCCGTTTTTTCTGTGACTGCTGTAACTTAAAAGTTTTTGAAATGGAATTGCTTCAAATAAACTGAAGATTTGTTATAATGATTAGTTTCAGTGTATGACATTCACCTAACAGTGCGATCCTCAGCTTTGCAGGTCTTTATAAAAACAGCAACTTGCAGGTTAACTCATTGAAACACTTGCATGTGATGTGAAGCATTGCAACTTAATAGTTTAATTCATCATCTTCCTTATTTGCTTGTTTTTCCCCAAAAAACTAAAAAAACTGATTCCCTTAATTTTCCTTTTGGAGTTGGGAATTGAACCAGTACTTTTTGTATTTTGATTTGAAGTAATTGTTACAGTTGAAGTAATTATTCTCTGTAGTTAACTAAAGTGCCTATAAAACCATTATATTGCAATGTTTATTTTCTAAGATGAGTCCAAAGTTTCCATTTATACTGTATACTGTATAATATTTATCTTCCGAGACTCGATAATACAAATACAAGTATACATAATTCCTTCACGTTTACCTTGAGCAAATCAAACTTGAAACAATAGGTTTTTTTTGTTTTGGTTTTCTGTGATAAGTGATTTTTAAAATGTTTCATTCGTAGAAAACTCTGGAAAGTATCTTGTGTAAAGTAACAAGTAAAATGCCAAGTAATTTTTCATGATTGCTTTACTGTTAAATATTGAAAAGGTATTTTAATTAGGACTCTGAAGTATTGGCAACTGCAAGTATTGTTTGCTGAAGTTAGTATGAAATTTTTGTTTGCTTTATGTCTTTAAAAAAATTCAAAGCCTTTCCTTCTTGGTTAAAGAAAAGGTTAGAACCAGGAGAAAATTTGTTGGCTGGGGTGTTAGATAAGGAAGCAATTTGGTGAAAGACTGATTGCCAGCACTTTCCAGTAGTGCCTGTTCTGTGTCTTAGAGAGGATTCTTCTATTTGCTGAAAACATCCTCGTGTTCTCTACTGCTTGATGCAGAGATAGCGTGCAGCTGTTGCTTAAAATAGTGCTCTCTGCCTGCATGCCTCCTCCTGTGCTACTCAGACTGATCTGGGAGCCTTCGAGGGCGCTCTGGCCCCAGGCAACGACTTGTGTTTCTGCTCTATGGGAACAGCTGAACTTGAAGGAGAACAGGTTATGCCACAAACTGGAAGTTACAAAATGAGTTATTGCCAGGAGAACCTTTAAAAATACTTTATACGTTTCTAAAATACCTTATTTCCTACAAGTGTAGTTATGGGGTAGTAAGTCTCTGAAGGCGGCTTACCCCATGATAACCCTGATTAAGAAAAAATCAAGCAATTTTATGAATATTTGTTAAAGCATCATTTAGACATGGTTACTTAAGAAAAGGATGCATCCCTATTAATGGTTATGCTGACAAGACCACCAAATAGGCACGCAGAACTGGTGAAAATTCTAGCTTCAAGAAGTAGTGCAGGCACTGTAAATACACACTGGCCTATTTCTCTCACTCTATTAAATACCCAGACTGCGCCATCTTTTAGAGGAAGGCTGTGCCATGGCTGTGATTCCCCTTTGGCTTCACAGCCCCAGGATTAGCTCACAGAGGGCCAGGGCTTTCTCCACTTAGAGAAATTTTCTCTCCCACTTCATTTCGGCACCCGATAGTCAGCAACAGTTGTTGCAGGCTTTCTAAGTCATTTAAGTAGAGTTGTGACTACAAATACTGAGGTCTGTAGAAGAATGCTTGAGTGTAATAGGAATGGCAGGTGAAGCACCTGTACTTTCTCAAGTTTTATTCATTTGAAAAGCAGTGACACAGAGGGAACGACAAAGTTTCCCCATTTGCTTGTTCACTCCACTGCTGCCTGCAACGTCTTGGCCTGAAGCTTGGAGCCCAGAACTGCATTCGGGTCTCCCACATGGCGGGCAGGGACCCAAATACTTTAGCCAGCACCTGCTGCCTTCTCAGGTGCATTAATTAGGAGGAACCAGGACCCCATCTCAGCAGCGATTTAAGGAACCGCAGCAGCAGCCACAATCACACTGCGAGTCTGCCTGCATGGAAGCCGAGGCAGTTCCTGCGCGTTTAGCTGGGTTGTCCACTGTGTCCTTTGCCATTTTTCTCGGAATATCCTGATTTAAGAGCAACCCTATTTCTGCAATGTTGTGGATTTTTATTAGCAAGAAATTCGCGAATTCTTTCTGAATAGGGTTATTGGTAAGGGATTTTTAGCAGATTTGGTAATTTCACCAAGAGTTTTTATCACCTATATTGGGACATGAGGCAGGAACCACGGCCGAGGTTCCTGGGCTGTAACGAGCAGTAAGCCGGTGAAAGACTGGAGTTCAACTCAGCCGCATCCATTTTGCTTTCTCCCTGTTCCCTTCCTGTTTCAGGGGCTGGCTCCCGCCTTAAGATCCCGATTCTCTCAGGCCTCAGTTCCCATCCACTCCTCAGGCGCAGACCAACCACATTCTGTCTTTTCAGATTCTTGATGGGCGGTTGGAACAACAGATCGTGGCGTTGTCTGTAAACGCCTGGGCTGACAGAGTGATCTCCCGGGGGTTGGGGCAGTGGCCTCGGCATTTCCACCTCGGATTCCCCACCCTTGGGACACAGAACAGCTTGTTTTTCTTTCTCCGAGGTGCAACTTTTTCGAAAGGGCGCCCTCCAGCGATCCTAAAATTCCAAGCAGTAGGAACAGAGAGGTTGAGAGCGTCTCAGGGAGCCAGCAACAGGATTTCAAACGAGAGAAAGGCCACTTCATATTCAGGATATACAATAAGCGTGTGTGCCCGTCACGTGATTCGCACGACACAAAGATCCCGGCCACGCCACAGCCTTAGATTCACCAGCACAGCCAAAAGCCAGGAGCGAAAAAACACGACTCTGGAAGCATCGGGGCTACCCGGGTCGCTCTACAAGGGCTCAGCGCGAGACGTCTCGGATTGGGCCAGAAATGCCGCAATGCGCGTCACGTGACCCAGCCCCGCCCACCCGCCATCTCTAGATAAACGAGGGCGGGCGTGCGGCTGTCCACCGCAGAGGCTTGCGCATGCGTGGGCCGAGTGTCGCTGTCACTCCGGGCTCTCAGGTGCCTGGGCGCCCGCTGCGTGCTGGAAGCGTTCTAGGTCTTTCTGCGTCTCCTCCTGGAGCTCCCTCCTCCGCCTCCTGCCAGCGCGGGCCCCTAGGACCTCCCCTTTATTTATTTTTACCGTTTGCAGCCTTCGCTTGAAGAGCAACAGTGTCTGTTTTCCTCCTCTCTCATCAAATATTGAACTATTCTAAGCCCCACATTCACGAATCAGTATTCAGCTACCCAGCAGCTATAAATGGCGGTGCCCTGAATGTTTTCAAGATCTCTGAGGTGGCAGTGAGGGCTAGTAATTGGTGCATTTTATTTCTCAAGGGTTGCGTTTGAAGCTGAGGCCCCTTTGCTGTTAGTGCCTGGCTGGTTCAAGTCCGCCCAGTGAGTTTTGCTGCTTGTCCCCAGGGGGTTACCTATTCTGCATGTTCCTATTCCTCTTTTCTCGCAGTCTTAAAGCCAGAACCGCTAATTGGTCAGTTCTGGGAAGTATTAGAGCAACCAAGGAGCAGGAGGAAAGCCACTGAAACAGGACCTGGAGCACACTAGGGGCCATGATGGAGCAGGCTCGTGGGCCTGAGAGAGAGCAGATGGTGCTTTCAAGCCAGGGTTCCTGCCACCCAACTGGGAGATGGTGGAGTTCTGGCATCTGGCTCGGCCTGGTCTCCACCCTGCTGTTGCCGGCTTTGGGCGGGGGAGTGAATCAGCAGATGGAAGATTGATTTGTATGTCACTCAGCCTTCCAAATAAATAAATAATTTTAAAATTCCAATGACATACTTAAAAAGATGACAAAGAGCTTTAACATCGATAGAGTCTTTTTCTTCTCTCTCCAAGAAGGACCGGTTCCGATGGGGACATTTTGTAAAGGTCGGTTTGCAGGAGTAGGCCTTAAACTTTTGCTTCTTTTGGTTTGGTCAGTTGAACTGTAGTTTGCTACAAGTGCCACATTGTTGAGAAACTCATCAGATTACACTTTTTCCTGTAATCAATAAATCACCTTTCAGAGACCATTTGCTTGAATTTGTCTTGTGCAACAGAAAACTTTCTTTGGCGCTATGGAGGCAGAAAAGAGAGTAATTGAGATCTTGTGCACACAATTCTTTTTTTTTAAAATTAATTTATTTACTTGAAAGTCAGAGTTATACAGAGAGAGGAGAGTCAGAGAGAGAAAAAGAGAGAGGTCTTCCATCCTCTGA